GACTTCTGACTGTCACCTTTGGTACGTCATGCGCTCCTTACTTAGCTGTAAAGTCGTTGCAGCAAGTTGCGTGCGATGAAGGCGAGAGGTATCCAATGGCTGCTGAAAGGGTGAAGTCAGACTTCTATATGGACGATCTGATGACTGGGTGTCAATCTGAAACAGAAGTAAAACTAATTTATGATGAAATGAATTGTCTATTAGAGAAAGCGGGGTTCCAATTGCAAAAGTGGACAAGCAATAGACCATCCATTTTGGAAACGTTGAAGGAAACTTCTGGTAGAGACCTTGAAATAAAAATGGATAGTATAACTAAGATTTTAGGACTTACCTGGAACCGGAACACTGATGAATTTGATTATTCTGTGAAGATGTCACCTCCTGCTGCACCTGAAACAAAAAGGACGGTTATATCAGAGATATCAAAGCTTTATGATCCGTTGGGTTGGATAGCACCGTGCATTATAACCTCGAAGGTTTTCATACAAAAGCTATGGATTAGTGGAATCGGCTGGGATGATGAACTGCCACCAAATCTCTTACAAGAATGGTCATATTATAGAGCAGAGTTAAAGAAACTGGTAAACTTTCACATTCCTAGATGGATACATAAAAGCGAAAAAGATATTACAATGGAGTTACATGGCTTTAGCGATGCGTCAAATATAGCTTATGCGGCTGTGGTGTATTGTCGCATTGTCGATGCTAATGGGCAAATACACTCGCACCTCATAACCGCAAAGACAAAGGTAGCTCCCATCAAGCAAATATCCATTCCACGGCTGGAGTTGTGCGGTTCTGTTTTAGTAGCAAAATTATTGATTGATGTAGCTCAAGTAATGAACATTCCTAAGGCAAATATACATGCTTGGACGGATTCATCAGTTGTTTTGGCCTGGTTAAATGATCATCCAAGTCGATGGAAAACTTACGTGGCTAATCGTACTTCTGAGATTCTTGGTTTGCTAGACAATTCGCAGTGGGCTTATGTTAAATCTAAAGAAAATCCAGCAGATATAGCTTCCCGGGGAGTGTCTTCAGCATTTCTCCTTGGTGATGATCTTTGGAAACATGGACCTGGTTGGTTAAGGAATGCTCAGATAGACTTCACCCGGCCTAGTGCCATTCATACTAATGAGGAGTTAAAGCAAGTTAATGTTCACACTGCCAGCGTAGTGCCTGATTTTGAAGTCATTTGGGGATCTAAGTATTCATCACTTTCACGTTTGGTGAGAGTTGTTGCGTATTGTAAAAGATTTTTGCAATCATTAAAACTTCGTAAAGCGAATATTAAGGTTGCAAAATACCTGTCAGCTTCCGAAATTCACAAAGCGTTGAATGTATGTATCAAACAAAGCCAACAGCAATGGTTTCAGGCTGAATTGACAGCCCTGAAAAATAAGAGTCCATTGGAAAGGTCGAGTTCTTTATATAAGTTGAATGTATTTATCGACCAATGTGGGATATTGCGAGTTGGAGGAAGGCTACGGTATTCACCATTACTTGATGATACAAAGCACCCAGTTGTTATTCCTCATGATTCAAGTTTGGCTAAGTTAATTGTAGCCGACGCTCATGAAAGGACCTTTCATGGAGGACAGCAACTGGTACTTAATTTTATACGCATCAAGTACTGGATCAGTCGGGTTAAAAATATTGTACGAGCTTATATACGTCGTTGTGTTCGCTGTATTCGATACTCGGCGACCACGAATCAACAGCTTATGGGAGAACTTCCGGTTTGCAGAGTGACTCCCAGTAAGCCGTTTCTGAACTCCGGTGTCGATTATGCAGGCCCTATTCACATTAGAGTCTCCAAAGGTCGTGGACAGCGGTCGTATAAGGGGTACATCTGTTTGTTCGTATGTATGGCTACGCGCGCAGTACACATAGAGGTTGTTTCAGATTTGACGACTGAGGGTTTCCTGGCAGCGTTCAAACGGTTCGTTTCTAGGCGCGGTCACTGTCGTCATATCTGGAGCGACAATGGTACAAATTTTGTGGGTGCTGCTAAAGAGTTGCAGATGCTTTTCAACCAACAGAGTTCGATGTACAAAGACATTGCAGCTGCTCTTGCAAACTCTCAAACAGAATGGCATTTTATCCCTCCTCACGCTCCTAATTTTGGTGGGTTGTGGGAAGCAGGGGTGAAAAGTGTAAAACACCACTTGAAGCGTGTGATAGGTGACTCCACTTTGACGTTCGAAGAACTGTCCACAGTACTTTCCCAAATCGAGGCATGCCTAAACTCTAGGCCCCTGTCTCAGGGTAGTAGTGATCCAGAGGATCCTGTACCTCTGACTCCGGGTCATTTCTTGGTGGGTCATCCATTGGTAATGGTTCCTGACTACAACTATGAAAGTGTCACAGTTAGCACTTTACGCAGATGGCAATTAGTACAGCGTATGGTGCAGCACTTTTGGCGTAGATGGAAACAGGAGTATTTAACAAACTTTTTTCAAAGGCATAAGTGGAATGTTCGTAAACCTGACTGTAAAATAGGTGATGTAGTTTTAATAAAAGAAGATATCTTACCTCCAGCTAAATGGTTGTATGGCAGAATTGTTGAGCTGCATCCGGGTAGAGATAACTTGACGCGAGTTGTCACTGTTCGTTGTAAGGGCTCTATGATTAAACGTCCAATTTCAAAATTGTGTTTTCTTCCTGTTACTGAATAAGGCACAAAATCTTGTAGATTTAATTGTTTAAGTTGCGTATGTTTTTAGATAAGGTTTTATTATGTTATTTTCTTATACTGCACTGTTGAAATAACAATGTCTCTTACTCTTGTGCACTGTCATGTATTGATTACAATGTTTAGTTAGTAGTTTAGTTATATTGTTTTTTTGTCAGAATTTTGTCAACCTGATATTTTTGCCGGTAACAAGAATTTCGTCACCCAGATTAATGTTTTTGTACTTATATCTATTCATTTTGATTGAAACCATAACTGTCCGCGCCAATGTCTGCTAAAAGAAGCCGTCCACTAGATCTATCTCGATGTATTATTCGTAATATAGTAATATAATTGTTATACAGTCCACTGTTCTCCTAGTTGTTAAGTTTATGCATGGTGGGCGGTACGAAAAGGAATATATTCCTTTTGGTGGGCGGAATGTTCAGTGTAGAAATAATCTGTTTAAAAGATGCACTCGGCCAACGCCATACTACTATTTATTGTGTTGTCCCATAGCTCGATAGATGGCGTTGGCCGATTTAAATTCAAGCTATGGTTTCGTTACCGGCAAAACATTAGGTTGTCTGCTTTGACGTAAATAAATTGTCTTGCTCTGAGGTACTTCGTATTATTTCAAGTAATAGGCTCCAAAGGACTTTCGGCCGATACTGTTCATTATGTCTAGCTAGATTAATACTTTAATTACTAACAAATATACCCATGTACCTCCTACAGATACTATCTATACTATTATTTGGGTTACCGGGGCTCCGGTTTGATGTGCAGGAGAAGGAACGGGGTGGTTGTTAGTCAGAAAAAGTCTGACACTCCCTTCCGCCTCACCCAGACGGGAGAAGCCATTCGATGATTTTCCCCCCTTAAAAAAATCTATTCTATTATTATGGTTATAACTACATACTATCAGTTTTGTTTTTGTTTTATCACGCCATACTGTAAAACGTGCCGTGAAGAACGTAAAAAGGTTACCGGGGCTCCGGCTCGAAGTGCAGGAGTAGGAACGGGGTGGTTTTTAGTCAATAAGCGTCTGACACTCCCTTCCGTTTTACCTAGGTGGGAGTAGACATTCGATGATTTTCCCCCCTTAACTCTTTGAGTACCGTCATTATAGACACAATTAAAGAACAATAGGTTGCGGTTACCGGTATCCTCGCGGTGTTTGACAGTTTAAAAAAAGACTGTAAAGCCTGTCTTAATATGAAGTATGGGATTTAACTTACATTCTAATCACCGTTCTGGCTTAAAACACTTTCATTTTGAACTTGTGACCTTGCGCTTGTATCACATTCTACACTATAATAACGTGTAGTTTATCAACTGAAAAGAACAGCCCAATTACAGAACCGAGTCGTGAAACATGAAACTGAAGAATCCCAGTCTCGAATTTCAAATGTTTTTTCATGACAGGTTTAATTACAGCCTTACAGGGCTGTAAGCGAAGCCTTATTTTAATAAAAACTCTTCAAAGGGATGACTCGCTTTCAGCTTTTTGTCGGCAGTTTTCAGCTTTTTTCGACGAAGCTTTTTTCAGGTTACCGTTTCAGATTTTCAGTGTGTTTTCTTAAGGTTCTTTTGGCTTCAGTGTTGTTACAGGTGCTAGGGAATTGGGTTTATGTTTATGGTCGCCGGCTTCTTCCTTTTTTTAATAAATAATGTATTTCGGTCATGTACTGTGAACGTAAGGAAAGTACGTGTAGGCTTTAGAGAGGTTATTTCTGTACATATATTGTAGTGTAGGCATAAGAAAAGGTAGGTGTATGAAATTAAGTAAAAAAAATTAACTAAGTATAAAATATTCGACTTTGATTACTATGAGAAGAGACCTTGAGACCACTGAGTAGTGAATGCGATTACAGAGTACAAGTTGAATGAAAACGATTTTAAATGGGTATCAAAATTGGTCCAAAGGAAACACCCGTTATCATTTGACACTATCAAAATCTGTTTTTGTGTTTTGTTACATCACACCTAAGATTTTTTTTTATATTTCATGGGTCGACGTTTGACCACTATCTCACTTGGTGGTGAGCAATAATGCGGTCTAAGATGGAGCACGTCATCCCATAAGCAACCAATTAACTCGGGCCTTGAAGACACCCAGGTAATCAATTCAATATAAATTGTAATTGTTTTTATTTTAATAATTAATAATTAACGATTTAATCAAAAATACCTATCTAAGTAATTATAAAATATTCTCAAATAATAATTAAAAACTAAAATATTTAATCGAAGAACCACATCAACCATCAACCGTTGACCTCCAAGGGTTGTTTATGGTCGGTTGCCTAGCAACGGGGCGCCCCTAGCAACCGATTGAAATATTTCAATGAAAATGCCATTGACTTTTGCAATTACTATTTAGTGAGTCTTAAAAATATATTTATTTGATAAAGGGAGAGAAAATGGCTGGAGTTACACGACCCATGAGTCAAATGAGAAAGTTTGAAACTGTAAGTTTGTTCGTTTATTTATTATTCATTTATTGAATGAGATATTGTTCGTTATCGTAAGGTCAGTGTTCTTTGATCTATAATTATTATCGAAGCTGTAGTAAAACAAGGTATATAGAAAACAGATCCTCTTACCTTGTGGAGATTTTAAGACCCTTTTGTTACCGCTATTCTCTTCACCTGGGTATTATTTAAAAAAAAACTCAACGTCTATATTTGCATGTTAAGGTAATACATACAGGTCTTATGAAATAACAGGCACTGGTTAAAGACAGAGAGGTTAGAGTAATTATTATTTAGGTTATGTGTGGGAGAGCCATGCTTCGGCACGAATGGGCTGGTTCGACCGGAGTGATACCACGGCCTCATAGAAAACCGACGTGAAGCAACGCTTGCGTTGTGTTTCGTGTGTCAGTGAGGTTACCGGAGGCCCAATTACCCTCCCCTTCCCCAATCTCCCCAATCCCTGAATCCCCAACGATCCTCAAACTCCTAATCCCCAAAAGGCCGGTAATACACTTGTAACGCCTCTGGTGTTCCAGGTGTCCATGGGCGACGCCGATTGCTTACCATCAGGTGATCCGTCTGCTCGTTTACCGGCTTATCCCAAAAAAACACTAATCTAGATTTATGTCAAAACTTAAGTTGGTTATACGCAATTTGTCCTCAATCTCGAATCGAAAGCGTGACCCAGAATATGGAAGACTAATGTCTGATCCTTGTGCCAAGTGGAGCTTTGAATTTTTACGATGTAGGTCGCAGGCCGTGACATGCAGTATTAGGATGCATGTTGTCTCTCTCTTTTAAATGGGGTTGGTTGAAATAGCAATACTTTTTGCCTAAGTAGGTATATGAAGTATATAACATAACATTACGCGTTTTATCCTCGAGAGGTCGGCAGAGGTGCACATTACGGCACTTAACGCCACTGTACAATGTAACACCCACTTTTCATTATATATTTTATGAGTCCCATGTAATAGGGGGTGGGCCTAATGCCATAATATATCGATCACAATTCCAGACTCCGTGCTGCTATTGAGAATTGTTAAAAAACCCAGTAGTACTTTGCCCGACCCGGGAATCGAACCCGAGACCCTTTGCTCGGCAGTCGCACTTGCGACTACTCGGCCGACGAGGCAGTGACCCTTCATTCATCAAAACAATTCAAACGTAATTATGTATGTTAACATAATTAAAGTTTTGTAGAACGCTATAGATTATATAGGTTGTTAAAATAACCAGCTGTCTCTATTACTCATCATACTATACATATTTCTGTCTCACTCATCCAATAAACTTGTAACTTCAAAAGATTTTGTGATAGAACAAAGCGGCCGGATAATAGGATCACCCCAAAAGTTAGGCTATTGCAATCTTCAACCTCATTTGTTATTCCTTCAATCGCCATATTGGGAAACTTTGAATGTTCTTTATGTAATCCATAAATAATGTTACACGATTCATAAAATATAAGTTCCTTGTGACTACCACGTTTGATGAAGTCGTCGTACTTAAATATTTTCCAAAGGCTGCTTGATTTGAATTCTCGAGTTTTTTATTTTAAGGCGGGAAAATCGTCGAATAACTGCTCCCGCCTAGGTGAGGCGGGAGGGAGTGTCAGACTCTTACTGACTAAAAACCACCCCGTTCCTTCTCCTGCACGTCGAGCCGGAGCCCCGGTAACCCGTTAGATTCTCCGCGACTCCGAATCGGCATCAGCCCTGTTGGGCCCCATCCGTGGTGGTTCCACGTGGTGGATCCACGCGCCATTCGCTCGGGTCTGTTTCTGGTCGGACGGGGAGCCACCCATGCTCACCGTCCGCAGGCCCGCGCTTACGGTGGCCGGAGATCGTCCCGCGATCCCCGACGCCCGGTGTGTCCTTCGCAATGGCTGGGTTGTGAGGAGGCAGCGCTTCGCTGCCTCACGCGTCCCGCCTGAGTTCTCGAGTAGAGTGAAGTACTAAGGAAGTATTTATATAAAAGTGGATGTCCCGTTTACCTACATATGTATGTACATACTAAGCTATGTTTTAATTTCCTGAAAGTAATTGTTTCATTGAATTTTTATAAATTCAAAGTCGGTTAGTTGAAAAAAGCCTGTTTATCTTTTAAGCACTGCTATGGTGACAAATGAACACACTCAATGAGCTATCATTGTTTAATGTCTGACCAATACAATGGTTGGGACGCGACTGCACCCGTACCGAATCCTTTCAGTTAATGTCGCGCATAGGCGCAATATAATGCTTAACTAAGGGCCCTCACAAGCTCAATAAGATGACAGACTGTCACAGAATAATACTTCAGTAGCCTCGTGAACACGAACGAAGCAACATGTCTTTAACGTTTAATTTTAAAAAGTGTCTTGTGAATTTCGCTGGCAGTGACTGTCAGTGCCACTTGGGTTTATAATGCGCTATTTGGGCTCGTACACAAAACTGCGATGCCATGCGATGTGAATTCGCAACGCAAAAAATTGCGATGCGAATTGCTGCGATGCGATTTCGTGCGACAAGGCGTCTCCCAGGGTGACCATTCCTTTGACTACCGTCAAGAAGATATTGGGAAGAAAAGATTTTGATGCGCGATGCGAATCCATTCGCAAGTTCTTGCGATGCGTAGAAGGAGCTCGCACATTTTTGCGATGCGACGTCGCATCGCATTTTGTGTACGAACCCTTTCTTAGAATAAGGAGAAGGGTTAAAATTAGCTAATAGGTCTAATGATCAGCGCTACCCATAAACAACTACAACACCAAATGAGTTACGGGTGTATTACAGGCCTGTTTGAGGGATTCGGGCACCCAGTAGCCCGCTTAAAGAAAAGGCAGATATATTTTCTAGACTTCTGACTAGCTGTAACCACTATCATAGTCATAGTCATATAACATTAGAATAGAATAGAATATAATAAACTTTATTGTACACCATTAATAATTATAGTACATTAGTAGAGAAAAGTAAATGACAAACATAAATAAAAATAATAAAGGGCACAAACATTAGGTATAAATAAAATCTTTTTTCCAGAAAGAAGCTCTATTCCGTGCTCGGAAGCGTATCCTCAAGTACTTGGTGCAAGGATACCTGAAGCAGGAAGGCTACTTTCACACGGCAGACACCTTCACCTCGGAGGCCGCCCTCACTGGGGAGTACGAGGTCTGCGATAACATCGACCTGGACATCATTCTGCAGGTGAGGTTTTGTTCCAATTTTATAGAGGAAAGATTCGCAGGTTACTCACGTGAATATACTACGCGGTCGCGGCAATGTCAGCCTAGCAAGCGCCGATGTTAGCTAGTAGGCTGCGCGACATCGCCGCGATCGCGCATGCTACTCATGAGGATGAGACCCTTTGTGGCTCGAAACTAGTAGAGCTTTTTTCAGTATATTCACGTGAGTAACCCGCGCTTTTTAGTTAATTTAGTATGTCTCATGATAGTTATAAAAACAAAGTTAGTTTAAAGTAGATTCATTGCTTCCTCAGGCGAAGCTTTAAATTTTTTTATTTTATAGTGTCATAATCGTAAAAAACATTTCATTTTTTCTGTACACGTTTGCAATAACCATATCTGGTATAGTTTCTTTAGTATAGTAACTCTGAACAGTATTTTTTAATCCTGACAAGTATTTCGAATCCTTTAAATAATGACATCGCGGGGATCACGAAATAATTATTATTAACAATAATTTATGATGAACTATGTAATTAATAAATAATAAAAATTGTTTATTGTACAAAATTTCACAATATTACATTCACAGAAATATGGCAATTACATGAACGAGTGTGAATTACGATCGATACTGACACTGTCTTCTAAACTAAGCTATAAGATTGTATTTTGGAAAACAGTGATTCAGGCGTGGAGTATGTCACAAAGTCGACTCAGTCAGTAAAATCTGCCTAGTTGGCTGAGTGGTCACAAGGGTTCTCGGGTTCTATTCCTGGATCGAGCAAAGTACTACTAGGTTTTTTTTAATTCTCAGTCAGAGTCTGGATTTCTGCACGGTATATGGCTATAGGTTCACTCCCTATAACTTGGGACTCATAATATAAATAATGAAAAGTGGGTGTTACATTCTACAGTGGTATAATGTGCACCTGTGCCTACCCCTTCGAGGATAAAAGGCGTGATGTTATGTTATGTACGTACAGGACCGAATTCACTTTCTACTAAAAACATAGTCCTTCAACTCTTAGGTATAAACAGTCTTCAAAAAATGTTGAAGAACACGTGAAACCATATCCCCCTAGAGATTAACTTCGCCATCATTGAGTTATCTTAGTATGTGTGTGTATGTGTGTGCCAGCCTCGTTAGTAGAGGAAGTATTTTTCGTATTTATGTGCCTCTGGGGGTAAGCAGAGCTCCAAGGTCTGCCATTTACGTTAGCGATAAATTTGAATTTGATGCTATTAGTAAGGTTTTTAGTTTCTTTATCTTCGAGCATGAACTTTTACGATTTCAATGTTCCGTTTGTAAAGCTATATTTTGTTATGGGCTTGTGGCACCTATTTCTTACCTTTTTTTATTATTTTTTTTTTGTTGACGGGGGAAACCTTCCTACGGCGCCTAGCTTTTTGGGGGAAAAGACTAGGGAGTGTGGGATTTTTACCTCCAGGTGTCCATGGGCGACGCCGATTACTTACCATCAGGTAATCCATCTGCTCGTTTACCAGCTTATGCCATAAAAAAAGGTTCACTGTTAGAGCTGACTATAAACCTCCACATTTATATAGGCCATGGGCGGTGTTGATCGCTTACCTTCAGGTGATCCTCCAATTTTTGTTTGCCTCCTATTCCATAAACCTCCCCCCATTTACCGTGCACTTGAAGGATGGTGGTGATTTTTTATGGCATAAGCCGGTAAAATAGCAGACGGATCACCTGATGGTAAGCAATCGGCGTCGCCCATGGACACCTGGAACACCAGAGGCGTTACAAGTGCGTTACCGGCCTTTTGGGGATTAGGAGTTTGAGGATCGTTGGGAATTC